TTTTTCTCGCTTTTTTTTTTTTTCGGCGGCGGAGGAGGAACTCTCCGCTCCCTGAAATTCGTAGCACACCTAGTTTAGCGACTCCGTCTCGTAATTTTTTCGCCTACGTTGTCGTCCCCCCCCCTCCCGAACAGGACGCTGCGGACATGGTCCTCGCGGACGACAACTTCGCCACGATCGTCAGCGCCGTCGAGGAAGGAAGAGCGATCTACAACAACATGCAGGTGTCTGCACCTGTACTGCTGTTGGGTGTATGTATGTATAGGTTACGTGTCGAGGGAAGATCGACGGCCGAGACACGGCGGTGCCTTCCTCCAGCAAGGAGTCGCAGGGCAAAAAACATGATTGTTGCATCTATGTAGCCGTTGATGTATGTATATGCTCATGTTGTAATATAAAAGTGTTGGCGTTATTTTTGCCTTTGAATTTTTGCATCACCCGCTTGGCAACGGACAGTGTCATCTGCGTACCCCCTTGCGGGAGTGCTGTGTGTGCGTACTTGTCGCATGACTTGAACCATCGCTTGACCCTTGTCGCTAGAACCACCGCACTGCCCCCTCCTCTCTCAACAGCTGCCGTTTCCCCCCAGCTATGTGTTATTTTTTCTTTGTGTCACACCCCTCCCCCCTGAACCGTATTTCCATGAGGCACGCCACCATCCCGAAAGGGAGTTGCGTGATCGGCAGTTACAAAGTTGTCTGTGGTTACCTCTAGCCGTGGGAGGCAGGCAACTGCAATATTCCGCATGCCGGCCGCGTTTTTTCTTATACATGCACACGCGGAGTGTCCTAGACAATCTGTCGTTGATTTCTGTTGACTTGCGGACCTATAAGGTTCATTTCATTTTTGTATGCCTTTTTTACGTAAGTTAGCCGGCGACCACGGGAATCGACCGCATCAAGTGTGAGACTAATACGGACAGAAGAAGGTACTGGATAGAGAGAGAACGGAACGGCTTTTTATGTGAAGACAGCAACAATAACAACAACAACAACATACACGCCCCCCTTGCCAACCCTCGTTGCCGAACCTTGTACTGTTTGTTGCCCCCCTTTTTTGCTCCCCGCACGCGCGCCCTACATCCTCTGCAAACAACCATGCAACAACTAAAAAAAAAACGCAGGCATTCATCTGCTTCCTGATCTCGTGCAACATCGGCGAGATCGCCACCATCTTCTTCGCCACCCTCCTCGGCCTCCCGGAGCCCCTGACCCCCCTGCACCTGCTGTGGGTCAACCTTGTCACCGACGGCCCTCCCGCGACGGCGCTCGGATTCAACCCACCGGACCCGGATGCCATGAGCAAGCCGCCGCGCCCCAGGGTAATCAAGTCTGTGTATTTTTTTTTCTTTTTTCGTTCGTTGAGGTTCGCTGGGCTCTTCGAGAGAAAGAAACACGTTTAGCTGTGTGAACTGTTGAGCCTGGGGAACTGGGGAAAATTGGGACACGCCAGCTGTGCGAGCTATGTATTGACACGCCAGCTTGGGGCACGGCACAACTGACCGCTGGCGGCCAGCTGTGGGCTGGTTTCTGCTTGCAATGCTCTTTTGTAGTTTTTAGCTCGCATCATCACCCCCTTGATGCCACCGTGCTCTCATGAGCCCACGCTAGAGGAACCCCTTGTACTTGTAATGTTCGTGTGTTTAGAAAATAATATTCACACAAGAGTACTTAGTACAATGTAGGATTTGTACAATCCCCGTTCGAGACATAGCCACAGCAATCGAAGGGTACTTGTTTTTTTGCTTGTTGCGGTATGTCGATTCGACCTTTCAATTCCAGCTCACTACTGTTTGCTACGTCCTGCGTAATGAACAGTAGAGGCCGCGTTTTTTTTCTCGGGTATCTTCGGGAAGAGGGGGGGGGTTGGAGGCGATGATGCTTTCCGGGGCGATGCCGTTGGATCGCACTAGTTGGTTCCGCCGCCTATGCTGACACTTTCGATGTTTGTGTTGCCTCCTCCTCCTCCGTGCCCTCTCCACGCTCTTCTCACCGCGGGATCTGCGAACTACAGTACTTTACCAAGTAACGAAAATTTCTCCTTCTCCGTTTCTGTTCCTTCTTTCTTTTGTTCTTTTTTTCGTATTTTTTAGTCCAACGAAAAATGTCTCTTCCCTCGTCGTTTCTGTTTTTTATTTTATATGCTGTGCCAAGGACGAACCCATCATGTCCAAGTGGCTCCTCACGCGGTACCTGCTGACGGGACTCTACGTTGGCTTCGCCACCCTGGGAGTTTCGGTTCACTGGTACCTGGACCATGGGGTCACGTGGTCTCAGCTGATCAACTGGAGCACGTGCATGGTGAGTAGACAACGACATCTCTTGTTTTGGGGGCAGATCGCGCCTGGCATGGAGATTTTCGGACAGCGTGCGTTTGTTGTGGAATTTGTCTTTGCTGTGACACTGGAAGCAGATCGTATCTGGGGTTGAGATATTCGGTATGGGGTTTGATTTGTGCGACGCTGACGCCTGGGAAGCAGATCACTCCTTGGATGGAGAGATGGCACGGCGTAAGTTGGGTGTGGAGTTGGTTTGGCCGACAACGGCCCTTCCTCTCTCTCTCTCTGTGTCTCGCCCTCCCTCTCTCTCTCCCTCTCTCTCTCTCTCTCTCTCTCTCTCTCTCTCTCTCTCTCTCTCTCTCTCTCTCTCTCTCTCTGTCGGTATTGCTGTGGTAGTGGTGTACAGCTCCCTCTACTCCTCCACTCCTCCACTCCTCCCTCCGCATTGCTTTGTACAGCAGCCTCCTTCTAGCCGCCGCCCCCCCCCGTGCGGCTTGCACAACCTAACGTACCGTTTTGGAAAAAGACGTGGCGACCGGCCTTCCCTTGTTGTTGTTGTTGTTGTGCAGGGAGAAGGGATGGAGCTTCCCGCGACGGCCGGTCTGGAGTACCTCGCGAGCAAGCCTTGCGAGATATTTACCGTAGCCAAGGCCATCCCGCAGTCCCTCTCTCTCTCCACCCTGGTCACCATGGAGATGCTCAAGGCGCTCAGGTAATGATGCCTGCCAGCCTGCCAGCCTGACGGGGTGGCTGACTGACTGACGCGAGCCGTTCATTGCATGTAGTCTGGGAATCATTTTACATGCTGCTCCAAGAACTTGCTCACGGCACTCAAATGATGCCTGCTTGCCTACCTGACGCCAAGAGGTCGGCGTTTATGAGACATTGTCTGAGATTTTTTTTTTTTATGTTGCTCCAAGGGCGTGCTTACGACGTTTCAGGTAATGGTGCCTGCATGCCTGGCTGACGCCAAGAGTTGGCGTTTGAAGCAAGTAGTCTAAGAATGTTTTCGTGTTGCGCCTACCTGTAGAGGGCTTGCTCACGGCACGACATGAATGGTGCCTGCCTGCCTGCCTCCTTGACGCGAAGAGTCGGAGTTTGTCGCGTGTAGCCTCAGAACGTCACTCGATGCTGCTACACGTTTAAGAGTTGTGCTTGGAGAGGCGTTGTAACGTCTGCCTTGGAAAAGCATGTCGACCTCATGCTCCCTTGTGGCTTACATGCTAGGGACAACAACCTGCCCGTATGGCACTCATTTCGAGCGGCGAGGGACGTGCTGCCGTCGAACAGTGGGTTCAGCCCATCCGGCAACCTCACGAGCTCCTGGCTGACTCTGCTCGCGTGGGATCTCGCTTGCTGTCTGTCGTCTGCTTGCCGACAACCATTCCCGTGTTTCGTGCATCGTAAGACTTGCCACCACGCCAGTCTTTCTCTAGCGTGGCTAAACACTTCTTGTGATGTGTGTGTGAAATTGATCTTTCCGTTCTTGCTGTCGTTCTCGGCTCCGCCCTGATCGCTGGGGGCCGATGCAGCGCCGTGTCCGTGGACAATTCCATGCTGCGGGTGCCCCCGTGGCGCAACAAGTGGCTGCTGGCGGGGGTGGCCTTCCCGTCCTTGCTACACCTGGCGGTGCTTTACCTCCCGGGTGTCGGTGAGAAGAGTCAGCCCACCGCTTTGTGCCGTCGTGCGGCCAAGCGTGTTTGAGTCCGTGCGGTCTGTTTGGTCTACTTGGTCTGTTTAGTCTGTTTGGTTTTGTTTGGCCCGTTTATTCTGTTCCGTGTTGGGTATCGGGTACATTCGTCCGCGCTCCCTCGGGGATTGTGTTGTCATTCGCTCTCTCGTCGATTGCGTTTGGTGTGTACAAGTGCTGTGCCATGTTTTTCTGCTGTGGCCTAGTAGATTGAATATCTGGCTGCTTTCGGCGCGTTTGGACGACGCGCGGACGGACAGACAGCGATACGTTCTCCCCTCGTGGTTTAAATTTTGTGTTTTGAAACAGCGCTTTGCGTGATCTGTGTACATGGAAGTGAGGTTGCCTGTGATGCGCCTACTTGGAACCACTGTACGTATATGTGCATGTTTCCAATGCGCGACCAACCCGCAGGCGCGGTTTCGGCCGTGAGTTTCTTTCCTGCATCTTGCCTTGGTTCATGCAGCGGTTAATTCATGTTTTTTTGGTATATAACGTACCCAACCCAACCCAACCCAACCCTACCCCAACCCACCTCCATTTCTCCGCTGCCGGTGTTGCATCTTTCGTTTCCTATTTCAGGCGAAACGTTCGGCGTTGCGCCGCTGTCGTGGGACGACTGGACTTGGGTGTTGCGCTTCTCCCTGCCCATCCTCCTAGTGGAAGAGATTCTCAAGGCAAGCACTATTCATGGCCTCTTGTGGCGTGCCCCGCCCCCCTCCCCTCGCCGTCTTCCCTTTCCCCGCAGGCACACAAATCGATCTTTGCTATGCATACATACGGAGTACCATGGCGTGCCTTCTGTGATTTGCCGTTGAGGAGGAAATATTTGCGACACGAAGGAAAAACACAGCTATTAAAAGCTGCCTCCAAACTCGGCATTTCTGACATTTCTGAAAACTCCCATGGTGTGGCGGTTTTGTGCACCAAATACAGTGTGTGGACCAATAACAAACACTCATAAATACATGAGTTTGGCACATGACCGGGTTCGTTTTGTGCCCGCGGAAACGTGCAAGAGGTGCAGCAGTAATGGTTGTGTTCCTGGTCTGTGCCTCGCCCCCCCCCCCCCCCCCCCCCCCCCGCCCCGCCCCCCCGCGAGTGTTGGACGTTTTCCTTTCCTGCATGTACGAGTGCGAGTTGCGGCGTAGACTCCATCACCATCACCATCACCATTACCGTATGTTGCTGGCGGAAAACTGTATCTCCGTGCGTTGCTTGCGGGGAAACCCGTACCGGAGGTATCCCCCTCCCCTCCTGGTCCTCTTCCCCCCTTCTCTCTCTTCTTCCGTTCCTGTGGTTGCTGCTGTTACATTTGGGCTCCGGAATTTGTGTGCGCCTCACACCGTCTTGTTTGTTTTCGTTGCGTCTCACAGGCTATTGGAAGGAAGGTGAACGCCCAGAAGTCCACCGAGCAGCGGGAGATCGCGCAGAAGGCGCTCAAGGACGGGGAGCAGACGTGGCGATCCCCCCCAGCTGCATGAGCGGGAAAAGGCCCCGCTCCTGCTGCTGCTGCTGCTGCTGTTGCTTCTGCTGCTGCTGTTGAGACAAGCGAAGCTCTCTTTCGGGGTTGAACCAAGATTGTGTGTCTTTCTCGCAGCCGAAAGTGTAAATTACTCCAACCAATCAAAAGTTCTCTATAATTGCTCGGAAGTTTCGTAGGGTCGACTGAGGCGCCGGTACATTTGATCTCTTGGCGGGGTACGTTCTATGCTCTTTCTTGGATGGCCGCAGTTGCCTTCAGAACAAGAAGTTTGTGTGTGTGACGAGACCTCCGCGGAGCCACCTCGCCCGGCCGTCACGACGGCACTGGTTTATTGTTTGTTTTCATTTCTACGGCCGCAATACGGCCGGCAGTGTGTGTGTCCTGGTGTCATCGTATGCGTACGGGCCCGGCGAATCGTGTGCAGCAACAGATGAAAATAAACAAAAAATCGAATCGCGTTCACCCCTTCTCGCACCTGACCGAGCGGCTCCCCTGCTGCTGCTGCTGCTGTTGCTACCGAATAGCACTCTCCTCCCCCACACCATGTGTGTATCGAGCGGTGCTGGTAAAGCTGCCCCGTGAAGGCCAGGAACCGCCGGCGATACACACTGGGCGGGGGTAGGCGGGGGTAGATGAAAGCGAAAAGTCTAGAGTCGTTCAATTCAGAGAGCCGAGAAAAAAACCTTGCGGTCCAGGGATTGTGTCGTATGTACCGCATACCACCAAATGAAGGCCCAGGCTAATCTTTTGAAGGAGATACAGTCGACCCCGCTTTAAGGAGGCATATGTTTTTTTCCGAAAAAAAACGTCCTTAAGGCGTGCTTGCGTCCTTAAAATTCAGGGGACGATAGCTCACCATCCCCGGGGCCAACCATGCTTTACCTCAAACTACGCGTCTTTTGCTAAGGAAGAGGGTGGTACGAATAGTCAGCATCGCCGGGATGACTGGCAACCGTTTGTTGACGTCGAACATGTTTACAAAACTTAATATGAGATGTACAGCAGTCGGGGACGTGTTGAAAACAACTACAGCACACCAGTTTGTACTTGGCCAACTTATGTAGAATATATACGAATACATATGTAGACTATACATACTACGCTGTTGTAGGTGCGCGAGAGCGCCCGCACATTGCGGGAGAAGGGACGATACCCCTACATGGTGACGAAGGCAAGCCCGAACTGCCTCAAAATCGCCTCCCCCACACCCCCCCGCTGCCTACGAACTTCACCAGAGAGCATTCAGCAACCNGGGGGGGGGGGGGGGGGGGGGGGGGGGGGGGGGGGGGGGGTGGCATAGGTGCGGGGGATTGCAATCCACGTGCCCTCCTGTTTACCCTTGGCTGAAAGCCCAGCTGAACAGAGGTAGGTGCATTTTTTTGCATTTTTTTTGCAAGGGGCAGAGTCCCCCTCGCCCCCCCCGCGCCCCTGCTGTTCACAGTGAGTGCTGTACGGTAGTACTGCCACACGTCGCGGAAAACCATATATATGCTCTCCGCTGTTATACGGGTTTGATGGCACTCTCCACCACCTTTCTTGAGGGCTTGATGATGTGGATGGTCCTCAGAAAATAAGAACAACAAGGTCTAGACTACTTGTTTTAGTCAAGGAATAAGAGAATCGGGAGGATGCGACAGTCCAAAGGAAGAAGAAATGCCATTTATTTATGAAAATGGACGACTTGGGCCGGTACTTCGACCCAAAAGCAGGGATTGAGGCTCGATCCGATTTTGACGTTCCTTGACTAACTGCGGGCGCTATCTGTATCTAGGATCGAACGTCCTCCAAGAGAGAGATTACCTCGCCCTCGGTGAGGGACGAGGTCACGCACGACTTTTTTTTTGGCTGCATCATCATCAGATGGACCGCCGGTAGATGAGAGTAATCTATCCATACCAACACCCAGGTGCAGCTGCAGCAGCAGACCGCTCGCTACTTCTGCTGTCTGTGCGTCGCTACTTCTTCTGCACTCACTGTGGTGCGTGGTTCGTGCAATGAGCGGCCCGCAGCTATGGTATATGACTCTATCTAACAATCATCCTATAACAATCATCCAGGATGATTGTCCAGGATGATTGTTATAAGTCATAATACCATAGGCCCGCAGGCCCGCAGGACACAAAAAAGGGGGCGCGAATATTTGCAATCCATGGATTACAAAAGAGAACCACAGTCCAAACATTAGGCCTGTCCTCCATCGGCCGTTTTATTTTCGATTTAGATACACAAACTATTTTCCATACTAATTTCAAGTAATTCCACCTTCTTATTCTCCGTCATACACGCAAAACGGCCGATGGAGGACAGGCCTACCAAACATCCAGACGAGTCGAAACCAAAAAAGGGGGGGTACGCAGCAGAAAAAGGGGGGTTCCCCATTATCGTACATATGGCCGGGCCCCCTGGTGCTGTTGAGCAAAACAAGTTTCCTTAAAGCGGGTAGTTTCCTTACCGCGAGCGCCCTTAAGACGGGGTCGACTCTAAGACCGTTGCTCAGCTGGCATGGTGTGCGAAGCTGCAGCTCCACAAGAGGACAGGAGGTTGGTTTGTTGAGTGGGGGAATTTCTCGACTGACGTCGGTCGGCGATCTCACCGAGTAAACAAAGGGCTTCCGACAATCTGTTGCCATGTCGACCACACTTTTCTTACATTTTCCTCCAGGGAGGGGTTCGATGGGCTAATTAAGCGAAGGTATCCGAACATCATCTGTGTACCACACGCTGACAACCACGTGGTGTTCCGCACGCCACTTCGAGCATGAGGCATTGCGCATTGTTGGTCTCGACGCGGGAAATGACAAAGCAAGGAACGGCGTGCTACCCAAGGACTTGGCGCGTGAGGCCCGAGGAGCTGGAACACGATTTAGACGTGTCCACCCAAGGTCCGGTGCTGCTGCGGCCCGAACAGAAATTTAGTGTACCCCACGTTGTTCATAAGCCGTCATTTGGTCAATGCCCGAGATAACGTTGTCGCTTGTCAGGCATTCAAGCGGCAACGGGCCACGGTAGGCGGTACACCGCACCAAACCGCCATACCCGTCATCAATGACCGCTGGAATTCAAGGCGGTGATGATGAACTAAATAAAAACCAGGGTGTACAAATGTACCCTGCAGTTTCATGTTCAACCCCACTATTGTACGCACGCTGCCAGCAGTATTAAGGTTCTCTACCTCTAGCGAATGTGCCAGGGATCTCCGCACAAAGCCATCGAACCAGACAGCCTTGCTCGTACTGCTTTCAGTAAACACTCGTATAGCAACCCCCCAAAACAAGAACACCGTCCCCGCAGCACGTTGTTGCAGAGCTTGTAAGTCTCCCAAGGGCACAAAAAACGCAGCGAATACATCCCTCAAGCGAAACTGCTGTTTGTCGCGCCAACAAAAACAACGGCCCCATTTGGACACATGAGAAGCTCAGCATGTTAACCTCGCACTAACTGGAGAGCCGCTAGAGGCTCGAAATGAAAAACACAGACCTTTCCCAAGACCCGCACCACATCCACCACAAGGAAACTGCCCTCTGCTGTGCACCGTGGTGAGGACTTCAACCGATTTCTTGGGGACATAAACAGCTGTTCCAGGAGGGGGTAAATCCCGAGGAGCACTGGATTGACCGCTGCCGAAATGTGCGTTCTCCACAAACAACTCGTAGCACACTTACCATTATTACTCTATTAATGCCTCTGCAAATAGTACATTTTCCCGACCTTCCCCCTCCCCGCCCAAACCTTGCAACGTTACAAGAAGGTCCAGATCAGCGGGAACGTTGACGGCGCAAGATAATCAACGCCGCTCCCGCTTCCCGACTAATCCCCCTGTTACTTGGATGTTAAATAAACAAACAAGCCNGGGGGGGGGGGGGGGGGGGGGGGGGGGGGGGGGGGGGGGGGGGGGGGGGGGGGGGGGGGGGGGGGGGGGGGGGGGGGGGGGGGGGGGGGGGGGGGGGTCTCCTTCATATCATCTCGACCCCGCAGGGTTGTACACAAAACGCGGCACGACCATACAACGACCTCTCGCAGAGGACGCCCGGTGTCTGCTGCCACCACTTTCCCGTCACCTCCCGTAGTAGCTGTAGCTTCCTCTGTCCCGCGAGCGGGAGCGCCTGCGGTAGCGATCACGGTCCCCCCCCCCGCCGTACGACGACCGACCTCTGTCACGGCTATCCCGATCCCGATCCCTGCCTCTGTCTCTGCTGTCTCTTCCTCTGCCCCTGTCCCTGCCCCGGTCTCGCGAACGGTCTCGCGAACGGTCCCGGGAACGGTCCCGGGAACGGTCTCGGGAACGGTCCCGCGATCGCCCGCGATCCCTAGATCGTGCCCTCTCTCTGGACCTGTCCCTTTCACGGTCTCGATCTCCCCCTCCCCCTCCTCCTCCACTTGTTCCAACTTCTCTGCCCCTCTCCCTGCACTCAAAAGACATTGCAGGGGCAGGAGAAAAGGTGGGCAGCAAGTGACAAATTGTTTTCGTCCAGTGAACAGCAACCTTGAGCCAAAATGAACTAGTATTTCACACTTGTCTACATCAAGAGTACGCACGAAAAAAAAAGGACGCCAACTTAACGTCTTCACCACACACTTGGACACCTAACGAGTGTTTTTAGCATTGTCACTGCATTGCAAGGCTTTCATGCTGCTTTGACCAGTGCTACCGGTACCGGATCGTATCAATTGTTCCCAAAACTCCCTTACGCGGCCAGGCGCGCACGTCGGCCGTAGAGTGGACAGGCCGACCGACCCAGTTCTGCAGGTCCCGCTAGTCTGAACCGTCCCGCGTCGGCCTTCGAGCGGACAGGCCGACCGACCCAGTTCTTCAGCTCCCGCTAGTCTGAACCGTCCCCCAGAGTCCCCCTATCCTGCCTCTTATGTTTCGGCTACAATATTCAACCGCAAAACAACAAGAGCGCTAACGGATTCTGGTCGACCTTGACCACGCCCACACCCCCAAGCACAATATCCCGCTGGCGCTGCAGCTGCTAGTGCTACTACTGGTTCTACTACCACTGCTATGGCCGAAGATATGCTGCTGGTGCTGGTGCTAGTGCTGCTGCTGTACCGATGTGAATTTACCTCATGGGCTTGTTCTCGAATTTCTCCTTGAGCTCCTTGAGCTTGTCGCGAACGGCCTTCCAGCCGAGGTACTGCTTGCCCTGGAAGTGGCACCGGATGCGCTCCTCGTTCTCGGCAGAGGACAGGATGTTACCCGACACCAGCATGATGTTACCGCTCACCTGTCAAGAAAGCGGCAAGAAAAAAAAAAAAATCGAAATCAAGAGCCCTTCCCGGAGAACAGCACAGAAGAGCGCACCCGGCAACGCCTTGAGGGTCGATCAAAGGGTGTTATCAGCTTGGACAGCAGCACGATGGGCGTCTCGCGCGCTCCATCGAAGGCAAGGTCGCGTTGTGTTTGCCACAACGGAAAGGCAAACACAGAAAGAAATAAACAAGGTGCGTACCGCTTCGCACAAAACCAGGGGCTGCAAACCAGGGCACTCCACCACAGACGACGCGTACACCAAAAGTTAAGGTTATCTTGTGTTAGCGCCGGCGGCGCCTGCCCCATCTCACGCTCTCGAAAGCGGCCATGCACATAGCACATAGCAGGCACTATCATCCTATTGTACAAGGCTCTCCTTCCTCCCTTCTCACCTCGCACACAATGTCCCTCTTGCTGTTCTCGTTTTTCTCCGCCATCTGCTTCTCGATAGCGCTCTTGTGCTCCCGCATCCGCGCCACCTGTTTCGTGGTCCATAAGGGTAACACGCGAGAGCCGAACAGTAGACGACGAATAAGGCACACACGTAAAAAGCATGCACGATACGGAGCAGCAGCCACAGCATAGCGACGAGAATGAGGTTGAGAACGCTGCTGCGGTGGGAAGTTGCGGCGAAGCTGCGTGAGGGGAGTGATTGCGACCGGTTCGGGCGGGCGCTGCCATGCCAACTTGGGCACAGCCAAAATGTCGAGTGAGCCAAAACAAAACCACGAATGCACACATCTTTCGGTGGTGCCATCTGTCTCCATGTCCGCCGCGGGAACGCGAAACATCATTTTTCTATTCGTTCAACGAGTGACAAGAGAAAAGAAGATGGCGCGAACCTGAGCGGTAGCTACCGCGACAGTCCTACTCAAATGAAACCGATCGATGCCACGCCTGACCCGTACCACACCAAACGGAGTCAAACCTACAGCGCTGCCACGGTCCTCGGCGGCAAGATCTTTCGCCCTTCGTCGAACGAGCCCCCACCCGCCGAACCATTCCATCTCACTTCCCTTCCATACCAAACCGAGCAAAACCCGTGTGCACCACAACAAGAACCTCACCTCGGCAAGGAGAGCCCAAGAATAACCGTCCCATGCCGCACCCGAACCGTTCCACACCAAACCCGCCAAAATCCCGTGTGCACCACAACAAGAACCTCACCTCGGCAAGGAGAGCCCAAGAATAACCGTCCCATGCCGCACCCGAACCGTTCCACACCAAACCCGCCAAAATCCCGTGTGCACCACAACAAGAACCTCACCTCGGCAAGGAGAGCCCAAGAATAACCGTCCCATGCCGCACCCGAACCGTTCCACACCAAACCCGCCAAAATCCCGTGTGCACCACAACAAGAACCTCACCTCGGCAAGGAGAGCCCAAGAACAACCGTCCCATGCCGCACCCGAACCGTTCCACACAAAACCCACCAAAATCCCGTGTGCACCACAACAAGAACCTCACCTCAGCAAGGAGAGCCTGCGCTTCGTCGACGAGCCCCTCCTCCGCCTGCTTCTCCGAAAGCTCCATCTTCTCGCTCATCTGTAGCCGTAAACGGTAACGGTAACTGTAACGGGAACGACACCGAAGGTCAAGATTCATTTCGCCAAGGACCACAACCAAACCCTCAAGAACATGCGCCAAACTCTCTACAACAAGAGTAGCAGCAAGGGCCTCAGCAGCAACAACTACGATGACCACTACACCACGAAACAGCATCAACGACATCAACAACAACTTGCGTTGGATTCACGACAAAAGCAGAGGTAACATTGCAGTAGCAAGGGGTCCACCCAGACTTACGACTCTCTCCATGTCGATCAACCTGGCGATCTGGCTGTCCTTAACGCTGTCGTCACCCTGCTCGAGCCTCAGGCGCTCCTTGTTCTTCTCCACCTGTGGTCCATCACACGGCGGCGGCCCCCGGGTCCGAGGAAAGGGCCAACAGATGAGAACCCAGAGAGGACAGGGGCACGCGGGGTGGGTGGGTGGGTGGGTGGGTGGGAAGAGAGACGGCCGTGGCTGAGCACACAGACGACAAAGCGAAAGACCGAAGTAGTCGCCAAGTGCGTCGCTGCCTGCTGAGGACAACGGGCAAGCTCCATCGGTACAACATGCTTCTATTGTGGCACCAACGAAACAAACAACAACAACAACAACAACAACAATAAGCTTGCCAAGGGCGAACTATCCATGGTGTGCTGGAAGAAAATCAATTCGCTCACCCTTCGGTCGCAGGTGACGACAAGATCCATCAGGTACGTCATCAATTCCCGCTCGTAACCGTACTTGTCCTGCCACACCATCACCATCACCAGCACCATCATCATGTGCGTAATCACAGTATTCGTCACGCAAGGCATCGGCAGAGGCCAAGGAAGGGGCGCGCGATGGTTAGTGAGAAGCACACTCGGCAAAGCGATCGACGGGCGGTCGAGTAGCCTCGCGGTCGTTGCTGCACGTGAGGCTTCCACGTCTGCGGAGCGCAAGCGTAACGCCCAAGCCATTTGGCATGACGCTTGTCCTGTAGGCAAGCACACAGCACCGACACCACCAGTGGTAAACGAAGAGTCCATGCGGCCCTCTTTCTCCCCCTTGCTGTACGCCCACAGGACTGACATACGCCTGTCACGAACGATGGCCGCGTGTTCAAAAAAGGAAGCTTGGCTCTTCTAAGCTGCCCCCTCGACAACGGCAGCATGTTTGTGCCTGCCGTTCATTGGCTTCCTTGTTTGTCCGTGTGCGAGGGGCGGGATCGATCGAGAGTCCATATTGCCGTGCACCGCTGTCGTCTTATCATCACAAGACGCATCGCATCGTTTTCGTTTCCGCTTCTTCGTACGGATGGATGGGGTGGATGCCACCATCAGCGGGCGACGAAACGCAAGAACTCGGTCAACGGCCTGCTGCGTCTGCTTTAACCTACCTTCTCTTCCTCGGAGAGCTTGTCCCACTGGGCCTTGACGTCAGGGTCGTGGTCCTGGTTCGGTGGGTGCTCGCCTGAGAGAACGCGCGGCAAATGGTTTTAGCAGCAGCAGCAGCAGCAGCACCGGCGACGACAGCAAAACAGTCGCAAAGATGTCAAAACTCTCACAATCACCGCCTCAATAACAGCCACAATAGCACTAACGATTTTGTCAACAACAGCGGTCACGCAACACGGACAGCAGGAGTTCCTACATCAGAGTGGGATGAGACAATAACAAGACGAGTTTGCACGCGTCGCCGCGAAAAAAAAAAAAGCGGCAAAACAACACGGAACACACAAACGCATCGCGAACAACAACAGGTACAACAAACACTGCTGGTCTAAAGTCTAGATTGCCACCACTGGTGTCTAATCCCTGCTCGTCTTCTGTCCTTTTCGTCTTTCCGCCCGAGCAAGACACATGTAGGCAACACCCCCAGTCTGTCTGTCTGACTGCCTCTCACCGAGATCGCTCCTTGTATTCCTGAAGTCCACATACGGGCACAGACCTGTCGGGAGCCAAAAACGCACAAAACAAACA